AAGTAGCAGGTGTAGCATGTCCATAAGCAATCCCTATGGACAAGTGTCGTGGGTGGCATGTCCCAAAGTCATCCCTATGGATAAGTATAGCGGGTAGCATGTCCCAAAGTCATCCCCATGGACAAGTAGCAGGTGTAGCATGTCCCCAAGTCATCCCTATGGAGAAGTCGCATGTCCCAAAGTCATCCCTATGAAGAAGTAGCAGGTGTAACATGTTCCCAAGTTTTGGTGGAGGTCCACGAAACTTTCCCAGAATTTCGGATGCTTATGTGGGATCAAAGCGATACCCAAAGCGATAGTGAAGCGATACCCCAAGCGATACCCCCAAGCTGCATTTGTACGGGGCTGACCAGTCATTACTGCAAACATATACTGGAGGATCCTAAACAGAATGCCTAGTTGCCTCACAGCATGGTGCGAAGCAATGAAGAGAAACGAGCGTTGCAGCGCTTGTTGACGGATCTGTTGAACCAGAGCGGAGTTGGGAACGAGCTAGCCGAACGAGCCAGAGCTAAGTGCCCAGGTACAGCTAGCGTAGCGAAGTCGCGGACTAATTCAAGTAATGTGCTCACACGAGCTCAGCGTGACTTTCTGAAGACTGTTGTTGCTAACGAGTACTGGCCTAAACTGACCGTGGACCAAAAGCAAAAGTACTTGAGGGAGGAGCCCGCACCTGAACCGGTTGCAGCTCCAAGTGCGGAGCTCGCCTCTGAACCTGCTGAAATTCCCAGTGCATCAAGCGGCGTAGCTGAGCTTCGCGGCCACACCTTTAGCAAGTTTTAAGCTTAAGTGCGGGGATTGGAGTGCTGTTGTTGGTAGCAACTTTAGATTTTGAACAACAAGGGAAACGAGATTCACCATCAAGGGCTTTCCCGTTTGTAGTTGCTTAGTTAAGCCCTCCATGCAAGGACTGCCAGTGAGAAGCGTGCTACTGAGAACGACGAGCCGCAAGCGGCGCGGAAGTTTGCTAAGCTTTCCAACGTGGGAGTAAGAGAAGTGCTGCGCCGGGCAGACGCCATGTGGAGCACCCTGGAGAAGTCTGCTTCGTGTGAAGATGCAGCTGCGGTTCTTAGCAAGCTTCTTGGTGTCGCGGAAAAACAATGGCCCGGCCTGCAAGACATGATGCGGGGTCAGCTTGGATCTGGTGCCTCACAGGCCCAGTGTGCGACGTGCAAAAAGCTGTTCACGGGCTTGTCCACCTTGGCACCTTTCCAGGCAAGTAAGCTCAGCGCTGACAACATGCGCGCAAGGCGTTATGTAGACAACCTGGTGAAGGGAGCCGCGGCCTCTCGCGAGGTGGCAGTGAAGCTTGGCTACAATGTGGGAAGACAGCGTTGGCATCGCGCCTCCGAGCCGGAGAAAGACATAAATGCAGGCGGCCGGCCTTCCGTCATCAACAAGGAGGCTGCTATAGCTGCTGTTAGAGCTGCGCTCGAAGACAAGTCTCAACCATCGTCGTCTCTGTGCAAGAAAGGAGATGATTGGGTGGTTGCGAAGACGTTAACAGAGCGGCCTAGCAGAGTGTACCTGGCGCCAGATGTTTGCAGCTCCATGAGTGAGACGTCTTTTCGACGGCTCTTGCAAGCACACATGGTCGAGTACCGTCGCCCGCGGCTTCTTACAGACTACTGCCAGCACTGCTATGACCTAGACCGGAAGGTGATGGTGGACGTTCGGAAGGCCATTCAGCATTGGCGAGAGGGCCTTGGAAATGTCATGGAGAATTATTTCCAGGCTTGGGACGCCCACTGTGCAGCTACAAACCTGTCCCTGGAAGAGCAAGCAGGGCTTTACCTCCGCGACTTCGAGCATTACATCAGCAAGCATGACGCCAACAAGCCATGCGCAAGACACCAGAACTCTGCTTTTCCATGCGGTCTCTTCGAGCTTCGCAAGCGAGGCTCCGGCTTTGACCAGAAGCGCAGGCACGAGTTGCATGAGCAGGAAGCCATGGCCGGACATGAGCTACGCGCGCTCTACAAGTTATTGCTTGGCTACCTTCACCATCGCGAGGCTAAAGAGGTGCAACACGCATCCATCGGTGCGCTACTTCATAATCCACCGCTGGGAACCGTTGTGCTCCTGTCAGACTGGAAAGAACTAGAAACTCTCCCGCAGTGTTGGCAAGCAACTGGCGACCAGTTCTTTGCTCAGGCAAGGCACGAGGTGTCCATATGGGGCGCCGAACTGGTGGAACACTCCGTGCAATCAACAGCTGAGAAGCCAGACCTCGTTCGAACGCAGCTCATCGTCCTCTCGACAATATTGGACCATACAGCCTTGCGGACCAACCAGTTGATCAGGGTCGCGCTGCAACGCCGCCAGACAGCGCGGAAGATGGAGCGCCTCTGCATCGTTAGCGACTGTGGGCCTCACTACCGCAGCCTTGAAAGCTGCGCTCACCACTTGGTGACGCTTCACCAAGCCCATGGCTGCTCGGTTGAGGTGCACTTTGGCTGCGACCCTCGGTTCTCAAAGCATTTCTCTTTAATGTGACTGGTTTTAAACCTTGATAGACAGTCAAAACAAGCTCATACATTTCTCACCCGCGGCCCATGCGCAAGCGCAGGAAAAACACATGAAGTCCTCCATAGACAGGCTTTTCGGGTGGGTGCGGCAAGTTCTCCAACGCTGCAAAGAACGGCGGGAGGACCTCTGGGAGCCCGACGACATGGTCAAGGCTCTACAATCTGGTTTTGCGGAGAACAAGAAGAGCAATCCCGCGTCTCCACACGTGCTTTGCTTCCGTGACCAGAGCCCGGTGCCCGACAATGCCGTAACACTGCAGGTGACCAAGGACTTAAAGATCAGCAGATCTTATTGCCTCAGCTGCGAGCCAAGCAGGCTGCGCTCAACGCCAAACATCTACGACCACGTCTTTAGCCATAAGCCTGTGGCTATCATGGTGGACTACTACCTGCGCGACCTTGGAAAGACAACAGAGAGCTGGCGTGTTGGCTTTTGGAGCAAAGGCCGTGATGCTTGGGATACGCAGCCGCAGCCACTGCAACCTCGAGAAGAAACTACGCTGAGTAGGCGCTACATGGCACAGAAGGAGTACATACCGAATATGTTGGCTCGAAAGCGGGCACTCTTGCCTGACCTTGGAGAGCACCTTCGCAGGAGGGAGAAGCGACTTGCGCGTGTGCGGCGCAGTCAGAAAGCAAGGCAAGAAGCTCTCCAGAAGAACTTGCGTGAACTCCAGTCCCAGGACAGCAGCTCTGACTCCGACTCTTCCTCAGGGTCTTCTTCGTCCTCGTCTGACTCCTAAAGACGCAGCACTTGCTCGGAAGAAACGCAAAGCTGGCCAGGGGCATCGTGTGCAGAGATGAAGGTCACGTAGTTAGAGGCCTATGAGCACGAGATGTGCCCCTAGTAAGACACAGTTAATTCTATAGGAGACCCCAACGGCTTTACAGAGCCCCAAAACGGATTCTGCATGTGACAATCATGTGACTTCGTGGCTTCCTGCTTTTCTGAGTCAGCCGGAACTAGGCCTTCACAACAGGTTGCCATCAGAGATATTTGGCTTAGTTATCAACTACAGACCACCATCCTCTCTTCAGATTCACTTGGAAAGGCCCTTGATTGTCTTACAAGAAACTTTCGTATGATCGCTGTCGAGCCTGTAAAGCGATACCTCAGATTTGAAGTGACGCAGAAACCCCCAAAAGCGATAGGACCCCCCCAAATCATCCATGGCATCAGATTATACAAGGAGTTTCGGCGGTCGCTCAAATAGGAATATGTGGGGATATGTGGGGAAAGGAAAAGAAAAGGGAACTTACCGCACGATTCCAGGTTTAGAGTTTCGGGTTTT